TCTATTAAAAATTCATTGTGATTTATGGAGACCTGCTCCTGTCGAATCTTCAAAACATATGAAATATTATGTCATTTTTTTATGATCACACGAGATATACATGAATTTATCCATTGAAAAAGAAATTTGAATTATTTGAGGTCTTTGTAAAATTTCATAAAACAGTGGGAAGATAATTCTCTAAAGAAATTAAGATTTTTCAGTGTTATGGAGGTGGTGAGTTATCCAAATAGACTTCATCAAACATTTGAAATATTGTGGCATTGTGAGACATATTTCATATCCTCACACACTTGAACAAAATGGAGTTGCAGAGAAAAAACATAGGCATATTATGGAGACTGACTTAACTCTACTTCTTTATGCTAACCTACCTTTGTTTCTATGGGTTGGGGCGTTCTTCACTGCAATATTCCTTATCAATAGACTGCCTTCCTCGGTCCTAAAGATAGTGACTCCATTTGTTAAGTTGTATGGAAAACAATCTAATTACAATAACCTAAAAGTGTTTGGGTGTAGATGTTTTTCGTATATCAAAGGTAGAAACAAGTTCAGTCCAAAGACTTACCCTTGTGTGTTCTTAGGGTATAGAAGCCTACACAAAAGATATACATGCTACCATCCATCTACAAGGAGGGTTTACATACCCATACATGTTGTGTTTGATGAAAACACATTACCCTATGGGTCTCCAAATCAATCTCAAACTAACACTAATGTCTCATCTCACCTTGCTACTTTTGTTGAATCATTCTCTAAATTGCAGCCACATGATATCTTTGATTCACGGGAAGTACAGGCTGCTAGTCCAAACATTAATGGTGATAATGTTGCTCCTACTCCTATATTTGTCGATGATGAAAGTACTACTGACTGCTCAAACGCATGATCAGAGGTTGAGGAACATGTTAAATGTGATGCTCCAGCTGGAGATTTGAATCTGCGAATGGAAGTGAGGAGTTGCACTTACAAGTCCAGTCAATGATCATCATCAAACGACTACTTTAGTTGATGTACCTGTGGACCATCAATCTGACAATGCTACACTCTAATTAACTACTTTGGTTGATGTACCAGTAGAGGTACTTCATGCACCACAAGGGAATCATATGATTATTAGACACAAAGAGAAAGAACACAACAACAAAGACATTCTGAGGGAATCGAATGCTATTAAGGAAGCACTTAAGTCATCTCATTGACTTGCAACAATGCAAGAGAAAATCAATGTTTTACACACTAACAAAACATGGATATTGGTGTCCAAATCTCTTGGTATAAATTTTGTTGGCTCAAAATGGGTATTCAAGACCAAATTAAAAGCTGATAAAATAATAGATAGATACAAGGCCAGACTTGTGGCCAAGGGATTCTCTCAGCTTGAAGACATATACTTTGAATAAACCTTTAACCATGTGGTTAAAACGACAACTATTAGGGTATATTTATCCATTGCCATCAGCTCAAGGTGGGAAGTTAGACAACTCGATGTCAAAACATCTTTCTTCATGGGTTCTTACAAGAAAAGGTGTATATGAGTCAACCTCCTTGATTTATTGATCCCAAGTAACTAAACATGTGTGTCTACCTAAAAAGGCATTGTATGGTCTTAAACAAGTACTGAGAGCCTGATTTGATAGGTTTAGTCTGTATTTCCTACACCTTGGCTTCATCTGTAGTAAGGAAATTCTTCATTATTTACATAAGAAGCCCACAAAAGGCATTATATTTCTCTAGTTATATATGGGTGGTATTATTATCACATGTAGCAATCCATCGCATGTCTCAAAATTGGTTCGACAACTTAGGAAAGAATTTGTAATGAAAGATCTTGGCCTTTTACACTTCTTTCTTGGAGTTGAGGTTATGTTAATAGGGGTATCCAATTAAGCCAGAGTAAGTATACTGCTGAGCTGCTACGTAAGACTGAAATGACTTTCGCAAAGGCTGTAGCCACTCATTTGGCTCAAAAGCAGGGTCTACGTGAAGTTGTGGGAAACCTGGTTAAAGCATCCTTTTACATAATGATAGTAGGGAGCCTTCAATACTTGACTCTAACAAGATCGAAATATTACTTATATTTTGAATTTAACAAGCTAATTTATGCAAAATGCGAACAGTGAACATTTTCAAGGGGTGAAAAGGATTCCAAGATACATCAAAGACACTCTGCACTTTGTACTTATAATTATTTTACAATCACCATGTAGGTTGTATGGATACTCAAATGCTGATTAGGGAGGTTTTACCACCACTAGGAGATCAACTACAAGCTATAACATCTACCTAGGTGCAAACTGTATTTCTTGGACCTCCAAGAAACAGTCCAAAGTTGCTCGTTCAAGTGCTGAAGCTGAGTATAGTGCACTTGCCTCCACTGCATCAAAGATGGTTGCTTCATGACCTTAGGGTGTTTCTTCGATCTGTACCTATATTGTATTACGACAACATGAGTGCTTTGTATATGCCAGTTAATCCAGTTATGCATACCAGAACTAAACATGTTGAAATGGACTATCATTTTGTTCGTGAGAAGGTGGCTAAATGACAACTTATTACTCAGTTTGTGAGGTCTAAGGATAAGCAAGCAAATATTCATACAAAAGCATTAACCAAACATGTTTTTGTTGAGTTTCGACGCAAGCTAGGAGTTACAGTCTCTCCAATGACTAGCTTGAAGGGAAGTGTTGAAGGAAGCTAATGGAACTTGTCAAAGGAACATGTTTGGTGAAGCTGCCTGACATGTTAAAGTTTGAGTTACACTAGGACTAGATTACTAAATCCTAATTTATGTACAAGTCTATATTTTGTACGACTAAAGTTGATGTAGTTGACCAGGATAAGGTGTAAGTAATATATTTGTGTTGTAGTAGGATTCCTAGTGTAGCTAGTATAAGACTCTTCTCCTACATAAAGAGTATGTATATCAATACATCAATATAACCCTTGATTTCTCTAATCCTGAATGTGAGATTTTTACATGGATTTCTACAGTAAGCAACCACTTTTAGAAAGAAAATGCAGAAGTCAATTAATTAATTTTATGTTATGATATAGCAGCAGAAAAGTGCAGAAAATGATTTCCTCATGCACATTGGTCAAGAGCAGATTTTGTTCAAGATAATTAAGATTTTAACATGCTGAAAAATTAATTAGAGAAATGATTTTAAACAAGTCAATTAGATCTAATTAGCATTTGATTTTTATCAATTAAGTCCTATAGACATAGTTTCTACGTGAACATATTGAAACGACTATCAAAACTATAGGCATGCTTTCTATATAAACATAATAATAATATTTAGAATCCTATATGCATGATTTTCTAAACCCCAAATATTTTGCAAAGTAAAAATAAACCTTATGATCATGATTTTCTAAGTAAAACATGTTGAAAATTATAATGAGAGTAAAAAAATCTGTAGGCATGATTTCTAATTATTTAGTCAAATTTCAAAAATTTAATATTAGCATACTGATACGCTCAAATTTAATTCTCGAATAAGAAGTAAAGTGGTCGTATCAAGTAAAGACTCCAACTAATGAGGTTGGGATCATTCCCACGAGGAAAATAGTTCAGACTTAACTTTATTATATTATTGCTATTATTTAGTCAATTATTTCCCTAGAAAACAAAAGACAATAAAAGGGGTTTTTATTTCCAAATTAATGAAATAATTAACTAAATTAAAGTAAACAACTAACAGATTCAAATCTTGAAGCTTAATCAATTAATAAAAGTAACTAAGGCTTAAGTGTTCCCAACAGGTTCCTAACTTGATAATTCTAACTATAACAATTCTTTCCTAGTATCTTGCATGTAAAGTGATAAGTTATGTATCTCTAAATCCTTGGTCCGGCATCTAGAAAATTTCACTCAGCACCTTGGTACGGCTACGTGTGTTGCTATACTAACCCTTACATTTACCTCATATTAAGCATTGTAGTCGATATTTGACTAAGTTATTAATTCTTACCAATCGACACTAGCCTATTAGATAGTGTACACTAAATCTATGTTGATAATTCTTTTCCTATTATCTACCTCCTTGGTCCGTCAAGTAGCATTAAGACGAGTTCTAACATTGGTCATCCGTTAAAAAGACTTTTAAACGAAAGTATTATCAATACATGCAAGACACTATTCTAGAATTGCTATTTTAGTTAGATTTTACCTCATTATTCACCCATGGTTCCCACAACCCTAGTTATGGAGTTTAGTTACCTATGATCATAATCACACAATTCATATATTTAATATAAGAATTCATGCACTTACTTTAATAAGAAAGAATAAAATCCAGAAATTCACTTGATTAATCAACAAAAGCACCAATAATCAATTCCAGAAAAAGTGTAACAAATGCTGAAATTAATCCTTCAATACTTTGAACAAGAGAACTAAAGATTATTCAAAAGTCTAACTATCAAAAAGTCTAACCTCTAGCTTGTCCCTTAGCTCTTTAGAGCAAAATTTTGCAGAAAATAATGTTTTTGAGGTTTTTCTCCGATTTAAGTCACGACTGTCCCGACACAACGGGCCCTATCCCCCCATAGCGGTCCCACCCTGACTTAATTTACCCTTCCTCGACGACTTGCATGGAGATGGGAACTCCAAATTTGAGTTTCAAATTCCTATTTCGCAACACACCTTCAACCCTTCACTATCTAAAACTATCCTTTCACGCCAAGATCAGTTTCGAGATTTCTTCTCGCACGAATTTAATTTCGTAAAACCGTACATGCTGCTTAACATATTGGCTATCCACTCACGAGATCTAACTAATAATTAAATCCCCCATCCTGCATCGAAGTTTCCTAAACCTCACCTGATTCGGATTTTGTCCAAGTGTGGCCTAGGCAAGAAATTTTTAAGTTTCTACTCAAAAGTTTTATGGCTCAAATTCCTTCCCCATTAACTTTTCTACATCGACGAAAATAGGTCATTACAGACATCAAAATGAAGCATTTTAGTGAACAGTAAAAGAAAGTGAACAAAATTTGTGAATCAGGAAATTAATGAACACTGATATTTAATATGAAATTCTTCTGGTACAAGTACATATCATATTTGACACCCAATAAGGTATACTATAGTTTTATTGCAATCGATATGAAAATAAAATTACATGAATTAACTGATCTCTAGAGATAGATAATCCATTACATATCACAAATAAAACAAAACTCAAGAATTCCAATCCCTCAACTCCTAGCCATCGATCTTGGTTCTTTATTTGATCTAAGACTCAATCAAACTTCTGGCAAAAGATGGCAAAACAAAAGCTGCTTTATGAATCTGAAAATAAACAAAAAAAAAAGTTAATTATAAAATTGTATAGGAAGGTAATAATAATAATAATAATAATAATAATAATAATAATTAAAAAAAAAGGGAATTAAAAGAATAAATAGTGAGATATAAAATTATTACATCAGTGTTGTAGAACTTGAGAGGTTGTAATTTTGACTTGACATGAGTTGTATCTTTGTCGATTGAATTCACTGGATTCTTAAAGTCAACTTCTGGTCCCTCAGTAGAGCAAAGCATGTAACCAATAACACCACTATAAAAATAAAAATACAATAAATATTAGATCGATGTATAATTAAATATCTTTATATTAGCATTGTTTGTCTGAATATCTTTTAGGGTTTGCTATAGTGACAATGTTATTATAAAAAATATATTATTTTCGTCTAAATTTATGTGATGCAGTTTGATTGGACACAAAATTTAAGAAATATAATAAGACTTTAAAATATTTCAAAATTGATCGTTAAAAAATACACCTTTGTGGATTTTTTTTGTCAAATAAGTGGAATCCTATACGTATAAAATATTGATAGTGTCATTAAATATTGATCAAATCGAGAAATACATCATTTTTTGTATTGATTGATACTCCCTCTGTCCCTTATTAGATGAACATCTTATTAAATGTAGTTGTTTCAGTAGTATTTATTCACTTAATAAATCACACATTAAATTAATTAATTTTTTCCTATCTTGCCCCTACGATTAATAAGACCTTTTGAATGTGAACAATTCTCAATACTAGTCATTCCATTATTATTATATACATATTTTTTCTAACTTATTTGGTAGGTATTGACATAAACTAAGGATAAAATAGTAAACTTAATCAATCTATCAATAACTTTTTAACCATTGTGTAAAACAAAAAGTATTCATATAATATGAAATAAAACGAGTAAAAGGAAAAGTGTAATACATAAATGAAAATAAATAGAATGGTATAATATAACTTGAAAGTCAACTTCAAAAGAATAACAGACCGTTATGTATACTAAAATTAAGACAATTATTATAGCTAATGATTATTATAGAAAAATCTAGCGATATATAAATAACAACATAAAGAAAAAGAAGATACATGCGTTGGATATGTTGGAACAGTAGTCCAAGCATAGTTGACAGAACCTTTAAAGACTTGTCGACAATTAGCAATAATTTGTTCAATAATATGCATATGAAGCCAAATACTTTCAGCTTGTGTGCATACAACTCCTCCTGGTCTAAGAGCTTTGGCTACTGACTCAAAAAATGGCCTCTCAAATAAATCTTTTGCTGGACCTAAAAATATTATTTTAAAACAAAACATGAAAATATCAATAAGTTAATGATCAAAAACATATTTTAATTCGTAACCGATAACTTAATTGTTCATTGTTTGATTTACCTATCTAAATTGGTCCATATCTATATGTAATTATAATTTAGATAATCTAATATAAATATATTTTTTATATTATCAGTATATAAAAGTCAAAAATATTTTACGATTGCATTATTAACCTTGTTATTGGTTTATTTAATATTAATTAATTATGTTTGTACTCATTAAATAAAATAAAGTACCAATAGGATCAGAAGAGTCCACTATAATAGCATCATAATACCCTGCTTGTGCAGCCTTTACAAATGCAGCTCCTGAAAAAATAAAATCAATCCAATTAAGAACAAATAAATCAACCAAAAGAAAAAAAATTAACTATGACTAATTATAATAATTAAATTAAAAATTAAGTATAAAAATTATTCATTGATTTTATAAATAGATAAATATTATTAGACATCTGAAAATAGTATAGTTAACAACTATTATTAGACGGAGGGAGTAATAAATTACACTCCCTAGCCCCTCATCCGTTTCAATTTATTTCATCCTACTTTCATTTTAATCTGTTTCAAAAAAATATCCAAATTTCTTTTTTTATCAACTCTTTAATTTTATATTTCACATAAAATATTTAAAATCACAAGATTAAATAACATTTTGATACATTTATGCTATTTATAATAAAATACCAAATAATTAACATAAATCTTCGTGTATTTCTTAAAACTTAATATCAAATAAAAAATAAAACAAATAAATCGAAACGACCAAACAAATAATATACATACCATCGCCAAGAACGAGAGTTACTCGAGGATCATTAAAATTAGCCGCAAGGTAGGGGAAAATTTTTCTAGACACCTGTATGAAAAACAAATTTAAGGTTAATTTTCCTTTCAAAAATGTTTTTTTCAAGTATTAAAAGAAAAAAAAAACTCACAAAGAGTAATTTATTTTTTTTTTACTTACATCAACCACCACGTTATCAATTTCAACAATATCAATTTTTTCAATGGTAGGATAACGAAGAACTTCGAATAATGTAAAACCAATTCCTCCACCAATGATCAATACCTATTAAATGAAATAAAATAATATAAATATCACTTCTTAAAATAGATTTAAAAAATAAAATAAATAAATTAAAACGAACAGAGACCTTTTTGGGACTTGGGATTGAACCAAGTGGTAGATGAACAATCATTTCAGTATATGGAAATCCACCATTTTCTGTGTGTTGAATTGCTCCATCCAATGTAAGAACCTTACCATAAGTTGCTGACTGCACACATATATTGCAATACATAAATAAATAAAAGAAATTTAATTTACAAGATATTATATGTTACGTATATGACTCAAATATATTAAATATTTATGGCATAAGGTTGATTATTTATATATATTATTACCTCAAAGAGCATGACATCTTGATAATCAGACTTCCCTTGAAATAACAACTTCTCAATTTTTATAGAGAATGCTTCACCTACAAAATTTGATAATTTTTGTAAATTAGAATAATATGATGTTACACTATTCAAAATGAAGTTTTTTTATATCACAAATGAGTAGAAATAGTGAGAGGCTTTCTAGTTATTTCATATGAAAATATTATTTTTTTAAAAAAAAAATTTCTCATTGATTCAATTAAAATATTTATAAAAATAACCACCGAAAATTTTTAGTAAGAAAAGTCATAGTAAATATTTTTAGTAATGTTACTATTAGAGTACTAGGTAAATTTGGAACTAAGATTCCTATGTATCAAACACATTCTTAGTTTTATAATACCCATCCCTTATTTATAGTGTTTTGGTTAAAATATGATAATAATTTTTTGGTTACTTATTCATTACTAAAAATTAAGTAAGAAACTCACATATTTAAAATTTCTAACAATTTTACTGAACACGCCCTTATTTTTTAAATTAATATTAACCTGGCCATAACGCACTAAACTCTGAAAACCAACCAGGCTTAATAGAGTTGGAGTTTCCCAATAATAGCTTATTGCCATTCTCATGATTTGTTCTACTGTTTCGATTATCGGGCTTGCTATTATTGTGGTGGCCGTTGGTGGTGATTGTGATGGCAGAGCTATTTGTGTGAGTATATATGACTTCCATATTAATTGGAGAATAGAAAGTACGTAATATTATGTTTGGGAGAAAGTAAATATTGTTGTATACTCCCTCAAGGTTTCGATGTATTTATAGTAAGTGTTTTGGACATGAAGGAATAGAGATAATATATATATTAATACAACGTGATTATATTGAATCAAGGCAGAGGGATTTTTTGGATTTAAAATATATAATGTTGTCTGAGTTCAATTATTTGTATAAAGAAATTAATTTTAAAAAAAGGGGAATGTTACAAGAGGAGAACATGATATTTTCTCCATATATTTTTATTTGTTTAATTTAAAAAGTCTAGGATAATTATTTTAGTAGGGATTATTTTACCTCATCAATGGCTAAGTGGAAACATTCAGGTTCCAAAGAAAAATGATATCCCCCAAGTAAAGTAAGGAAAAACAATTCAAAGGCTTAAGTCATCTGCAATTATTTAAAATTGTTCACATAATTCACTTAGACCTATTGAACGTCTAAATTGTTCAAAACATGTACCTATTAAACATAAAATATTGATATGACAAAAAATGTGTTTTGCACTTATTAAAATTTACAAATTGACAAGTATTCATATACAAGTTCAAAGAAGAAGAATGAAGTTAACTATGAACTGATTTTTATTAATCATGAATAATGAATGCTAATATTGTACATGTGCCTTATATACATGATTTATAACTTTGTAACAGATTTCTTTTATTTACTTTACAATCTAACTACTCTAACTTCTTTATATTACAAACTAGTCCATATCATTTTGCTAAGTAATCCCTTCTTTAATACCCTCCCTCAAGTTTGAGGGTATAAACAAGTTTATTACCCCAAACTTGGACGGTAAATACTGATGTTGTGACCTGCCTAGGCCTTTAGTAAGTAAATCCACTATCTACTCTTTTATATTTAGATACCTTGTTTCAATCACACCTTCATGTATCTTCTCTCTTATAAATGATAGTTCAATTTTATGTGTTTTGTTCTCTCATATGGTAATAGATTTGCAGCTATCTAAATTGTTGATTTGTTGTCACTGTGCACAATAACTGGACCTTTAATTTCTGCTCCTAACTTTTTGAACAATCCCAATATCCATACCACCTCAGCTACAGATGCTGCCATACTTCTATACTCAGCTTCTGCTGAGCTTCTTGAAATAGTTCCTTGTTTCTTGGACTTCCATGAAATGAGAGAGTCTCCATACTTTACTAGGAATCCAGTCACTGATCTCCTAGTATGTAGACATGTAGCCCAATCTGAATCACAATATTCATTTAGATGTCTGCCACCTTTGCTGGACAACAGTTTTCCTTGCCCTGCTTGTCCTTTTATGTATCTTACTACTTTAAGTGTTGCATTAAGATGAGACTATTTTGGCTGCTGAAGAAACTTACTTAAAGTCTGAGTTGCAAAGGAGATATCTGGCCTTGTAACAGTCAAATACAAGAGTTTACCAATTAACCTTCTATATATACTAGGATCTTCTAGTAACTTGTCTGCATGCCCTATATTATTCACTTTATCATATTCATTAGCAGTCAACTGCACAAACGAATCAAGTGGTGTAGTAGCAGGTTTTCCTGTACTCAAGCCAGCTTTAGAAATAATCTCAATAGTATACTTTCTCTGATGCATCACTATGCCCTTGTGAGACATGGCAAACTCTGTTCCTAGGAAGTACTTAAGATCTCCAAGATCCTTCACTTATTGAATGTATCTAGCAAAGCTTGTTTAGTCTCTTGTATTAGATTAATGTCATTACTTGTGATCATCATATCATCAACATACACTAATATTATCACTAAGGCAATCCTAACTCTTTTAGTAAACAAAGAATAATCAAGATGACTCTGCACAAACCCTGACATAATGAGAGCTTCAATGGGCTTAACATTCTACCGTCTAGGAGCTGGTTTATGTCCATAGAGGAATTTAATGAGCTTGCCCACAAGCTTCTCTTTCTGCCCTGTGAATCCCTGTGGCAACTTGAACCCTTGTGGCAATGTAATATGTATATATACACTTCATCATGCAAATCACCATGCAGAAAAGCATTATACACATCCATTTGATGTACATGCCAATTACCTGCTGCAGCTAGTGCTAAAACACTCCTAATTGTTACTATTTTGACAATAGGAGAGAATGTCTCATGATAGTCTAGTCCTTCCCTCTGATTATATCACTTATCTACTAACCTAGATTTAAATCTCTCAATTTGACCATCATTTTGATACTTGATCTTAAAAGCCCACCTGCATCCAATTACTGTCTTACCTGAAGGCAGTGGTACAACTTTCCAGGTGTTGTTGCATTTTAAGGCACTGATCTCAGCCTGCATTGCATCAATCCACCTAGAATCCTTGCATGCTTCTTCAAAATAAATGGTTCAATATATGCTCCAAATGAAGAAATATATGACTGATATTTAGCAGACAAGAGATCATATCCAAGATATTGGTCGATTGAATATAATGGTTTTTCACAAGGAAACAACTTTTGAACAGATTCTACATAATGCGTCATCCATAGTAGAGCATTGCTAGTTCTTAGTGACCTTCTAGGTATTGCAGACTGTGTGTGACTTGAGTGACTAGGTAGAGACTCAGAAGTTTCATATTCTAGTATCTTTGGTACACTATCTTGCAATCTTCTACAGGACTATTAGTTGTAGGAAACAATTTCCAGGCAACTGAAGTAGGAAGCGAGAAAGGAAATATAGTTTCCTTAAACACACCATCCTACTGAAAAAAATATTTGTCCTTCATATCATATAAAACATAACCTTTTGTCTGTTCACTATACCCCATATGAACTGCAACTACACTTCTTGATTGGAACTTATCACTGATATATATATTTTTGGCAAAGCAAAGACATCCTATCACTCTAAGATGATGTAGTGATGGTTTACTCTTGTATAGGACTTCATATGGTGACTTCCTATTTAGAACTGGAGTAGGCAACCTGTTAATGATATAGGCTGCACTTAAAAAACAATGACCCCAGAATCTAAGAGGAATATGCCCTTGAAACTTGACAATTCTTACTACTTCTAGAATATGTTTATGCTTCCTTTCAACAATACTATTTTGTTGAGGTGTATGAATACATGTTTTTTTGATAGACTATACCAAGTGACTTACACAATTGATGACACTCAGAATTAACAAACTATGCACCATTGTCAGTTCTAATTGACTTAACTGACACACCAAATTGAGTATGTACCAATTTACATAAATTTTGTATAATAACAAAAACATCACTCTTCAACTTTATTAAAAATAGTCACAATATTCTTGTACAATCATCTACAATTGTAACAAAGAACCTATTTCCATCATATCTAGGAACCTTCAAAGGCCCCAAAGATCAATATGTAAGAAATGAAAGGTAAAGATGTCATAGAAGTACTATGAGGGAAAGGTAATCTATGTTGTTTTGCTAATGGACATATAGTACAATTTTGAATTTCTATTGAACTATGTTTAATAGGAAAAAGAATAGCATGTGCTAACACACTTGGAGAGGTATGTCCCAACCTTTGATGCCACAATAACATAGATGAAGTTGCTGAACAAGTGTTAACCTGAGCATTGTTTTTTTTACTATGTGTAATGGAATTTTTTCTGTGATTTGAAACAGGGAGGAAATAGTGTCCATTAGATTCTTTACCAATCACCTTCACCTTTCCATTGTAAAGATCCTGAATCACAAAAAATTTATAAAAGAAAGAAACTGAACAACTAATATCTTTAGTGAGTTTAGACACAGAAAGAAGATTATTCTTGAACTCTAGTATGACTAACACATTTTTAACATTGTCATGTTCAGTGATATTGCAAGACCCTGTGTGAGTAACTGTCGTTGCATATCTATTAGGCAAATCGACTTTATTACAGTTATTAACAGGAATGGACTTCTTCTGTAGCAGTATATCAATTTTATATGTTATATGATTTGTGACTCCAGAATCCACAATCCAATCATGTGTTCCTACTATAAGTTTTAGACTGTTACCTGCAGTATGGGAGCTTTGTATTGAGTTAAAATTGTCATTTATTGGACCTTGTGTGCTAGTATTCGCTTCTGATGTACCCTGCAGATTAGTCTTTCCAAGCATATGCAATATCTGATTGTATTGTTCATGTATAACCTCCATACCTTTGTTATAGTCCATGCTTCTTGAGTATTGATTAGCCTTTTCTTGAGTCTTTACAGGACTACTTAACACATTATTTGTTGTATTATATGTGTTACTTCCTCTCTCAAGGTAATAGTTTCCTCTATCAGAGCAGTGTTAAGAGTAGATTGAATCATTGATTTAGCCATGGCAACGATCGATAATGATCTGCCAGAGAAGTCACAACCATCCTCTGTTTCTTAGCACCATTGATAATTCTAGTGCAATGTTGATCTCGATTCAACTTACAGGGGCAGAAAATTTCTCTGTTTGGAGTCGTGCAATGAGGATTGCGATATTAGGCAGAAATAAGATTGGATTCATAGACGGAACTTCTTTGAAAGAAGGATTTTATTCTAATCTAACAGATCTGCGGGAACGTTGTAATGCAATAGTGCTTTCTTGGATCATGAACTGTGTATCCAAGGAACTACTTGGAGGTATCGTATATTCAATAAACGCAGCTGCTGTTTGGAGTTATCTCAAAGAAAGATATGACAAGGTTGATGGTTCAAGAGTTTTTCAACTTCATGAAGAAATTGCCTCAATCAGTCAAGGTACAAATTAAATTTCAATTTACTTTGCTCTGATACTATGTTAAAATTCACCATTGACAAGTATTCATATACAAGTTTAAAGAAGAAGAACGAAGTCAACTATGAACTAATTTTTATTGATCATGAATAATGAATACTAATATTGTACATGTGCCTTATATACATGATTTCATAACTAACTTTGTAATAGATTTGTTTTTATTAACTTTACAATCTAACTACTCTAACTTCTTTATATTACAAACTAGTCCATA